CTGCCCCCAGGCGCATACGCGCGGCCCACCTCCCCGCCCAGCCCCGGCTCTCCCCCCCCCCAAACACACACACACACACACACACCACCACCGCCACACACTCACAGGTGGTCATCGAGCATGTCGGCCATCAGCAGCAGCCGCTCAAAGCTGGCGCGGTCGGCATCCACAGCCACCGCCTGGCGGCGCGGCTGGCCGGCGGCGGTGGCGCCGCCCGCGCCCGCCTCCACCGCCTCTGCCGCCTCCTCCATGTCCACCGCACCCCAGCTACGTACCGCAGGGTCAGCATTGGTCACCTCGTACCGCCCCCTGCTGCCGCCCGCGCCCTGGCCCGGCGGCCCCGCAGGCTGCCGCCCCCCACCATCCTGCCCCTCCTGCCGCTCCGCCGCCTGCCGCCCGCCGCCCTGCCCCTGCCCCTGCGCTTCAGCGGCGACTGCCGCGGCTGCGCCGATGGCTTCCGGGGCAGCGGCACCCCCCTCCCATGCCGCCTCCATCGCCCCGAGCTGCTGCTCCGCATCCGCTTGCAGCGGCGCCTCATCCTCGTCTGCCGGAAAGATCCAGATGATGCGCCCTGAGGGTTGGCATGGGCGGGGCAAGAAAGATGTCCAGCCCAGGCAGCAGGACGGGGGGGCAGGTGGCAACCAGCGGCATGGGGAGCAGGGCAAGTGTGCGGCAGCAGCGGCGGATGGGAGGGGGGCAGCGCCGGGGCAGCAGGAGCGAAGCAGGGCATGCGGGGCACCTGGAGGGAACAGGAGCTCCGGGTTGCCGGGGCCGCCGCCATTCTCGCCGCCGGTCTCGCCACCAGTGTCGCCGCGCGCCGGGGGCCCGGCAGGAGGCGTGGCCTGCAGCGCCGCCGCCTGCTGCGCCACCGCCGCCTCTGCCATCCACGCATCAAACTCACACACGTGCGGCAGCAGATCGTCCTGCCGCTGCCGCTTCCCAGCGGGCTGCTGCTCAGCCGCCGCCGCCTGCTGCTGCTGCGGTGCTGGCGGGGGCGCCGCGGCGCCTGCTGTGGGCCCCTGCCCCTGCCCCGCATCAGCGGCGAAGAAGCCCTCAGCCCGGCGGCGTCAGCGGCGGGCAGCACCTGTGACAGCTGCTCCGCGCCGTCCCCGCCAACAGGCGCTGCCGCCTGCTGCTCCTGCTGCTGCTGCTGCTGCTGCTGCTGCTGCTGCTCCTGCTGCTGTTCCCCCAAGTCGATCACCGGGATCTGGTGCGGCACGTGCGGCTGCTTCAGCCGCTGCTGCCACGCCGGCTGCGCCGCCGCCGCCGCCGGCTGCACCAGGACGGGGACCTGGCGCGGCGGCTGCCCCCTGCCGCCCGCCGACACGAGGCGGGCCAGGCCCGCGCTGGAGGCGCTCCTGCCCAGCTGCGCAGACGCCTCCTTGACCGCCGCCCAGCTGCCGCCGACCCTGGCGGCGCTGGTCACCGCCGCCGCCGCAGCAGCAGCCGCCTCGCTCAGCTCCGCCTGCTTGGCCCTGCCCTGGCTCTGCACCGCAGGCAGCCGGGGGCAGGCGCCTCCAGCCCACTGGGTCCCACCGCGGCTGCCCACAGCATGCACGCCGTTGCGCGCCCCCTGCGGCACGCCCCCGGGCAGCCCAGCGTGCTGGCCCCCTGCCCGCCTGCGGGCCCCACCCACAGCGCACCCCTTCCCGTGCCTCCCGCCCCCCCGCCCCCGCTCACCAGCGCCCCCGCCAGCTTGCTGCCCCAGCCCTGCACCGCGCGCCTGACGGGGCTGGCCTCAGAGGCCTCCACTAGCACCGCCTCCACACACGCCATGGACAGGTGAGGCACCACGTCAGAGCTGGCAGGCACGGGGAGGGAGGGAGGGTGGGGTGCTT